TGTTAAAGTTAATTAACAAAGAAAACTTTATATGTACAATATGAATATCTATTTGTGTTAACTTTTAGACACCTTTATTGTGTTATCGCTTTCTGCTCCTGTACCGGATGTTTTGTCTAATACGCAGGTTCTCAAGACGGTAGCGGTGGACAGCAGCTATAAAATATTGTTTTAAATAGTCAGTTCTAGATCTGCCTTCTGTACAACAGTACATGTTTTATTAAATATATTTTCTTTTATTATTCTTGGCTATTATCACTGTGTATCATTTCTTGCAATACTCAACAGGTTATGGGCCCAGAACACAAGTAGCAAGAAAAAATATTTGAAAATACATTTTTTCGTGAGTTTTTCGGTAGTTTGATCGGGAGTTTTTCAATTGTTTCGATACGAGCAGTTTTACTGTGTATTGCGAAATGGAGGCCGACAAATTAAAAATCGAGAAATTACGTGATGCAGATAATTGGCAAATGTGGCAGTTTATAGTGCAAACTATATTGGATAGTGAAGATGCATTGGCCGTTTGTCAAGGAACTGAAGAAAAACCAAATTCGAATGATGCGGAATTCGAAAAGAAATTAAAGAAATGGACAAAGGCTGATAGATTTGCTCGAAAATTGTTTGTTACGTCCGTGGAAGCAAAACCGTTGCAATTATTAATGAATTGCGAGACAGCGTGTGATATGTGGCAAAAGTTGCATAGTGTTTACGACCTAAAGTCAGACGAAAGCTTGTCCTTAATACAAATGCAATTTTTTGAGTAACAAAGAGGTTCGCGCTTTCTTAAATCGTAATGGAATCAAGCACACGGTTTCAACACCATACACACCACAACAGAATGGTTCGGCAGAAAGAGAGAATAGAACTATTATGGAAACGGCACATTCTTTTCTTTATTCTAAATCAGATTTACCAAAATTTTTATGGGCTGAGGCAGTCAATACAGCCGTGTATGTGATAAACAGAACGGGAACAACGAAATTTGCAGGCAAAAGTCCCTTTGAGCTTTGGTATGACAAAAAACCCAAATTTGAAAATTTCAAGGTTTTCGGAACTGAATGCTTCGTCCATGTTCCACAACAAAAACGTCAAAAGTTAGACAAAAAAGCTTTACGTGGTTATTTTGTTGGTTACACAGAAGGGGTTGCTGGGTATCGTGTTTAGATTCCAGAACTACACGACGTCGTTTTAAGTCATGATGTGATTTTTAAAAAGGAAGTTACTAACAAAGTGGTGCCTGTAGATAACAAGTTGGAAACCAAGTCAGATGATCCTAATTCAAATGGAGATGTAGATGATACATCCGAAGTCGTTTTAAAGAAAGAAGAAAAAGAACTTCCAAGATTACGTGATAGACATAAATTAAGACAACCTGATTTTTATGGTGTACCTGTAGCGATGTTTGCTTCAAAAGAACCGGCTAATTATGAAGAAGCTATGAAATCAGCTGATTCAGAACAATGGAAACTAGCAATGGATGATGAGATACGTTCGCTATTTAAAAATAAAACATGGACATTAGTAGATAGACCACCAAATAAAAACGTCATAGACAATCGTTGGGTTTATAAGATTAAAAATGACGCCAATGGATGTCCAACTTTTTATAAAGCTTGTCTAGTTATAAAAGGTTATTCTCAAAAGAGAGGTATTGATTATACAGAGACTTTTAGTCCAGTGGTGAGGTACGATACAGTGAGAGTTTTGTTAGCCACAGCAGCAATGGAAGATATGAGTCTTCGACAATTTGATATCAAGACTGCATTTCTGTGTGCAACACTTCATGAAGAAATTTACATGAAGCAACCAGAGGGTTACGAAGACGGTTCACTAAAAGTGTGCAAGCTTTTAAAAAGTTTGTATGGATTAAAGCAGGCTTCACGTTGCTGGAACGAATGTATCACTGAAGACCAGAAAGAGCATTTATTGTGCTGTATGTAGACCATGGATTAATAGTAGCAGAAGACGAAAGTTTTGCTGAAGAGTTTTTGGAGAGCTTATCTCGAAGATTTGAAACCAAAATATTTCGAACAGTTGGTAGTTTTCTTGGAATGGAAATTACGAAAATGAATGGTTCGTTATTTGTTTGTCAGACGATCTATGCAAGAAGTTTTAGAAAAGTTCAATATGTCAGAATGCAAGCCAGTATCTACGCAAATTCAAAGTGGTTGGAATGAGAAAATTAATGAAAGAATTGAAATAAAAGACTTTCCTTATAGAGAAGCGGTTGGCAGCCTGATGTATTTGCAAGTCATATCTAGACCAGATATAACTTTCGCCAAAATCACAAGGAAATCGACCACCAGAGTGCTTTGCAAGTTGGGAAATGCAGCTGTTGTATGGAAAAGTAGAAAACAACAATGTGTAGCGCTTTCTACAACAGAAGCGGAATTCGTAAGTGCGGCTGAAGCAGTGAAAGAAATTGTGTGGTTAAATCGATTGTTTAACGAGATCGGTGTGAAAATAAATAAAAATGTGCTACGAGTAGATAATATAAGTGCAATAAANAAAACCCTTGTGATTTTGAATGGTCCCCTAAACGATGGTGCGAGTTTTTGACTACTACCTGTAGCTTGTATGCTTGTTTTTAGTATCATTACTATTTCACCTTTAGTATATTGTTTTGCTTTTTTACGGGTTTTATCAAATCGCTTCTTTTGAACATTTTGATCTCTAACGATCCGTTTACTCACATTTTCTCTTACTTGTTGTAAATCTAGTCGCTCTACCTCATTTTGCACAACGCTAAGAATTTTCGCTTCTGCGATGTTTCGCCCTTTGTATCCCGCCAGAACTTCTAAATGTGAAACACCTATGGTTTTATTTTCTGTAGAGTTCAGAATACCTTGAATTGGCTTAACAAGTGTGTCCCATTTGGACTCTTTCATGCCTGCAGCCATTACTGCTAGGGTATTTAGCACAACCCGGTTTGCACGCTCACACTGGCCATTTGCCCGAGGCGTGGCTACCGCATTTAGAGTGTGATGAATACCATATTTATTACAAAACGATTCAAACTTTTTGGACGTATAGGCCGAACCTCTATCGCTAATTATACGTCGTGGGGTCCCGAAAATATAAAATAAACTGAGTAATGTGTTAATCACGTGTTTTGTTTTCGTATCTTTCACTGCTTCAAGAATTGTAAAATTTGTGAATCCGTCTATAATGGTCAAAATATAACTGTTTGCTTTCGAAATTTTCTTAAATCGCCCCAAATGATCGATATGAAGTATATCGAAAGGTACTGGCACCTTCTCGATTGGATACATTTGACCTTCCTTTTTACCAGAAGGATGTTTATAATACATACAAGATAGACATGATTGTACATATTTCTTTACAAAGCCACGCATTTTGGCTAACCAATACTTTTCGGCGATTCTTTTAAGTGTCTTTTCAAATCCTAAATGACCAGAGTCATCATGGCATAACCTGCATATTTACCACTTGCATCCTTTTGTCATTTTTCAACAAAAAGTTGTCAAAACATTGTTTAGTGTTTCGATTTCGCGTACCCTCACTAAGTATAGTTTTGATTTTGGTTACGGTGTCGTCTTGTGATTGGGCCGCAACAATCCAATCTGCTTCGGTTAAATCAATAACATTTATGCATTCTTCGATGGGGTTACGGCTAAGATCATCGACGTGGCTCATTTTAGTACCCACTCGATGTTCCACATCGAACGTAAATTCTTGGACTTGTAACCACCCTCGACCTATTAGAGGCAGTAAGTCCTTCTTAACAAAAGTTGCACGTAATGCACTGCAGTCGGTGACTATTTTGAATTGGATACCTAGTAGGTAAACCCTAAAATGTTGTAATGATAATACTACCACCATGGTTTCTAATTCATACGAATGATATAGTTTTTGTTCGGGGGTGGTTTGCTTACTAAAATAACCGACTACTTTCATCCCTATGTCATGTTTCTGTACTAGCATACCGGCTACTCCTATTGAACTCGCGTCCGTGTGTAGTTCGGTTGGTAGTTTAGGGTCAAATATTGCTAAAATAGGTTTTAATGATAAAGCGGTTTTAATGTTTTGAACGGCTGCTTTTTGTTCTTCGCCCCAGGACCATTTGGTATCCTTTTTAAGTAACCGTGTTAATGGTTCCACTTGGTGTGCATAATTTTGGATAAACTTCGGAAAATAGCCGGACAATCCTAAAAATTGTCTTACTTGCCTTATATTTTGAGGATCTGACACCTCCATCACAGCTTTTACCTTTAATGATCCCGGAAGTACACCTTCGCTACTACTTTTTCTCCCCAAGTACTCAATTTTTCTTTTAAAGGATGTGCATTTACTCAATTTTAGAGTCAAGCCGTTTTCTTTTAGTACTTCTAAAACTTTATGCAGCCTGTCCAAACCTTCCTCAAAAGTAACCGACGGTATGATGATATCATCAATATAGGGAAAGGCAATAGTATATTTTAAGTCACCTAGTATATCGTTTATTAATCGTTGATAAACGGCCGGCGCGTTGCACAACCCGAATGGCAATCGTACAAATTCTAGATGCGCATCGGGTGTTACGAACGCCATTGGGACTTGGTAGTAACCTGAAGCCATATCTAACCCAGTAAAGAAAATATTTCCTCCTACTCTGTCTATCTGGTCCTCTATAAGAGGCAAAGGGTACTTATCTTTCACGGTAATCGCATTAAGTTTTCTAAAATCGACACACATCCTATAGTCACCTGTTTTTTTCTTGCAAAGTATAATGGGGCTGGCATAGGGTGATTGAGGTGGTCTCACAATACTGTTTCTTAATAGATCATCAATTATATCGTTAAGTATTTTTCTTTCGGAAATAGACATTCGATATGGTCTGTAAACTACAGGTTCATCAGTTTTTAATTTTATTTTCATCTCAACAGTGTTTGTTCTGCCCAGGTCAGATAAGGAAGTTGACACGCATTGTTTATAGGACGTAAGTAGGTCAAACACCAGCTTTTGTTAGATTCACTGATGTTGCCAAAATTGATTTTGGAGAAATCTAATTTATCTTCTAGTTCATATTCGATGCTGTTTATTATTTTTTTTGATAGTTCCGGTATGTATGTAAACGTAGACAATCAGGAGTTTTTTCCATTAGAATATGAGATTGCCCGAGAAAATCGGTCCCGAGAATTATATCATAGTTTATTTTATCGTTATTTATTATAAACGTGTAAGGGAGAGAAGAGATAAGAAACGCTGGTAGATAAATGCTTGCACTTGTAATAAGTAAATAAGTAAATCAACTGTATCTCTCTTACATGAGTGATTTAATATACATCAAAATTATTAATGTGGTCAACTAACAGGTGTCAGTATGGTCAGGTCCATGTCCATGGCTGGGTCNGCTGTTGTATGGAAAAGTAGAAAACAACAATGTGTAGCGCTTTCTACAACAGAAGCGGAATTCGTAAGTGCGGCTGAAGCAGTGAAAGAAATTGTAATGTCATCCTTAAAATTGTTCATATTTCATTTATTCATTCATTATTATCACAGACATACTCTCATTTATCCTGAAAACTATTACTATTATTATTATTGTTTTTTTTTTTTTTTTTTGAAGAGGCCATGTGCCTCTTAGCTTAGTAAAATGATGACCCTATGTCACCTTCTCACCTCTTAGGAGTATCCAAGGTTTCATTTCATCTACGGTTACAACTGTTCGTGACCGTTTCATGCCTTCTCGAAGGTCCTCTACCTCATACTTGTCTTTATACAAAACACTTGTGATTTTGAATGGTCCCCTAAACGATGGTGTAAGTTTTTGACTACTACCTGTAGCTTGTATGCTTGTTTTTCGAATCATTACTACTTTACCTTTAGTATATTGTTTCGCCTTTTCACGGGTTTTATCAAATCGTTTCTTTTGAGCATTTTGATCTTTAACGATCCGTTTACTTACATTTTCTCTTACTTGTTGTAAATCGAGTCGCTTTACCTCATTTTGCACAACGCTAAGAATTTTCGCTTCTGCGATGTTTCGCCCTTTATATCCCGCCAGAACTTCTGAAGGGGAAACTGTTAAAGTTAATTAACCTGGAAAACTTAATATGAAGAATATGAATATCTATTTGTGTTAACTTTTAGACACCTTTATTGTGTTATCGCCTTCTGCTCCTATACCGGATGTTTTGTCTAATAAGCAGGTTCGCAAGACGGCAGCGGTGGACAGCAGCGAATAAAATATTGTTTTAAAAGTTAGTTTTAGATCTGCCTTCTGTACAACAGTACATGTTTTATTAAATATATTTTCTTTTATTATTCTTGGCTATCATCACTGTGTATCATTACTGGCAATACTCAACAGGTTATGGGCCCAGAACACAAATAGCAAGAGATAATATTCGAAAATACGTTTTCTCGTCAGTTTTTCGGTAGTTTGCTCGGGAGTTTTTCAATTGTTTCGATACGAGCAGTTTTACTGTGTATTGCGAAAT